CCGTCAGTACGATAGGATGTTTTCACTGACTTATTTTTAACTTTCAGTCCTTTCTTGACTGAAGTAATTGCTCTGGGAAGAAGCTATTATCTGATTTTAAACTGTGCACATTGGACCCCTCAGCCACCATAACAAGTCTATTTAAAACAATCTAAGAGGCTACAGAGTAGTATCATGTTCACGTGTCACCCATTGAACCTGGAGCCTTATTCCTGGCTCTTCAGATGCACGTGCTGTGACTTTTAGAAGATTTCTCTGCTTCTTAATTTGGAAAATATAGATAATAAGTTTTTCAGTTATATCTGACCGTGGTCAGTTTTCATGAAATAACTATCTGTTTAAAAGCAAGGGATGGAGATTACCTGGGTTTGAATTCCGGGTCCACCTTACTAACTTTTACAAATTACTTGACTTTCTGTGCCTCTTCTCTAAAGCAGAATAATAGTAGTAGCATCTCATAAGGCTGCCTTATTAGAAGAATCTGTTTCGCTAGACCCATGAGACCAAGCTCTTTGTCCTATTTACTCCTCTCTGCCCAGGGTTACATAGTGCAGTTCCTGCCATCCGGTAACCCGTTACCATTGAGTCGGTTCCGACTCATAGCAACCCTGTAGGACAGAGCAGAACTGCCCCATAGGGTTTCCAGGGCTTTAATCTTTACAGAAGCAGACTGCCACATCTTTCTCCCTCAGAGTTGCTGGTGGGATCGAACCTCCCACCTTTTGGTTACAGCCGAGCGCTTAACCACTGTGCCACCAGGCGTCCTTTGCCATACGGTAGGGGCCTGTAACATTTGTTACAGTTCAGCGAGATAATGCATGTAAATGTATTTAACACAGTGCCTGGAACAGAATAACAACAATAATAAAATTAGCTGCATTTTTTCCCTCAGCTTTATTAAAGCTCTTTGAAATTAGTATTCACACTTAAAAGATGACAGCTTTTATTTTATAAATATCTTTTACAGAAGTATTGATCTACCACCCAGCCATTCTGTATTAACCTTAGATAATACTCCTTACAATGATAAAAATTTGGTCTCTGTCTATTAAGTCTGTCAACGTAATTTCTGGGTTGAATTAGGAGTATGAAGGAAGGAATGAAAATTAGTTCCTATTCCCTGAAGTTGTTATAGTTATTTTTAATCAAACTGTGGTATAAATAACTTGTCTCCTTTTAATTTTTCCCAGCAAGGAATGTTCAAAGCTTGCTTTTCTGCAGTTTGCTGTAATTCTCAGAGAAAGAAGCAGCATTGCTTGTTTGAACTCTCTGACTTAAAACACTCTCATTCAACTTTCCTAGGTAATAGTTTAAAAAGGGAGTATATGATTTTTTTTAATTTCATTTTTCGTATGGACTTTCGTAGACTTTTTAATGAGTACCATTGAATTTTAGAGCAAAGGGATCTCAGAGATCATCTCCTCCTTCTCATCACTTCATATTACAGATGAGGAAAGTAATGAAAAGAGAAGTTAAGTGGTCCCAGCTAGTTAGTGGCAAAGCTGAGATGTGAAACAGATTTCCTAACACTTGACTGGTTTTGTGCGGCCTCCCTGGTCTAAAAACAAAACAGTAGCAACCAAAACCTAACCATATAAAAAGATGCTTCAGTAGTTGTACTATTTCTTTTCTCATTCAAGTCTTTGCATATTGTAGGACTAAATTTTTAGCTAAACTGTTGAAAAACTTCTGTATATAACCTGTTCTGTTGAAATGAAAGTTATGAATTAGTCATACCTTCCATGGTAGCAGTATTGTAACAGGATTTATTGGCTGTCTTAGAAAATATTATAGAAGTTTCAAAAATGGGTCTTCTTTTTTATTCAGGATAAAGTTTAGGATGTATTTATTGCTTAGAAAGCACATAACATGTAAAACTTTTCACATATAGCTGGAATAAGTTAATTAATGTAATGAAAATTTTTTTACATTTGAATGACTGCCTTTGTATATTTTAATGTAATATTGATGTAGATAAAAGAGAAGTCAAACAGCATTTTCCATTGTTTGGCATTTTCTCCTAATGTCCACCTTCCCTTGCTCTTTATAATGTTATCATCCATTTCCTACTCCACTTTTACTCATGTCAGGAGGTTAAAAAGGACATAAGGATCTGTCTATTGCAAAACATGTTCCCATTGTTACCGACAACCATAAACTTGAAGATTAGTGAAATTCTACATCCTGCATTCTTCACACTTCTCAGTATATAGTAATTTGCATGATCGTTTTAATGTCTGATCATATCAGTCCACACTCTCCCATTTCTTGTACAGCTGTTAAAAGAAGTCACAACATTCTTGAGGCAGCAGTAATAATAGACACAGCTGTCATGGATTTAAAAAGAAAAAAAAAGGTTTTTAGGAAATACATATCCATTAATTTCGAAACGTTGAAAACATATCCTTACATTTAAATGTATTTCAGATTTCTTGAGCAGTTAAACTTTTAGGCCTTTCTCCTGGGTAGAGAGAGGTAAGGATGAATCAGTTTACGTGATGGGGCTGAACCTCTCTCTCTGCACAGTGTCAGTCAGCGGAAGAGCCCTTGTCCAGAACGGAGGTGCACTTTAGGGAGCATGTAAGAGGAAGGCAGTAGAACCTTCCAGTACGCCTGTGCTAAGCAGTTAATTATGACTTTATTCAATTACTAATTTTAATGCTGAATGTAAACTTACTCCTGTTTTTGCTTAAATAATGACTCTTTTGGAAATACATCGATCAAAGAGGTGAGTAGCATACTTAGATCTATGTTTTAATATAGATATATGCACGACATATATGCAGTTTAAATATTAAAATAAAATATGCATGTGTAGTATAAAGAAGTTTGTTAATTATGAGGAAGAATCAGTATCTAAGTTTAAAGTAGCAGAGTTAACTCACTTTTTGTAATGACCTGCAGTAGCTTAGGAGAACAGGCTTTTTTTGTACATAAATTTTTTTTTACGTTTTAAGTTTAGTGCAATTCCTAATCATTCGTTTTCTCTGCTTCCTTCACTTGCGGGTCGTCAGTGAGTTCAGCGTGTGTTGCAGTTAAGGTGTTATGCTGGGGCTAATCTCTGTAAAATGCTAGCATTTGTTCTTCTTTTTCCCTATCATCAATCTTTCACACTCATATCAAACCCCTAACGTATCAGCAGGTTTCCCGGAGCTACTGGTTAAAATTACCTTTGCTTTTGGTAAACTATGAACCTTCAAGCCTCAGTGTTTTCAGCTGCCCCCTGTGGATTCCGTGAAGCCTCTCTCTGCACATTCCTCACTGCCAGTCCCTTGCTTTATGTCCTGAAACCAGGAGCCTCTACAGAGCCACGTTTACTGTTCCAACCGTGCCTGCTATCCTCCCTTAAGTGGAGAGAGTGTGCAAATATTTCCAATAATCAGGGCCGCCTATGCAAACTATAAATGAAAGTGGTTAGAACTCCCAGGGACATAGCTTATATTTGTGTTTAACTTACCCAGCCACAATACAGGTTCTTTAAACCTTGCTGTTTCTAAAGGTATCTTTGCTTTTCTGACAGAAATTGACAAATGTACCTGTCTGGCATCAAAGTAAATGCTACTGTTAAATCATTTATTTCTGAAAGTTTTTCTCATTTTCATATTTGAATAGTTCATAGTTTATTTAACTTTATTTTATTCTTTTGTTTGCATACTTTTTTTTCACTTCTTAGCATTCATAAATACTTCCCTTTGTCTGTTTTGACGAGGAGTATCTGTTATTAGTAAAAATAGGTTCTGATATAGATACGATTTCTTGGACACCTAGTTCATGGTGTTTTCACCTTTAGTACAGTGTAATTTCCACACACAGTTATTAGGTTGTAACTTCATTCTTTTGGGAAGCTGACTCCCGCCTTTGAGGAAAGTGCTTTTATTATGGGTGTGACTCTGCTCTTGGATCTACTAAAGACTCCTTTTCAGAGTTGTCAATTACAATTTCATTAAGATTTACAGTAAATACCTGGGGAGTACTTGAAAAATAATAGAAAACGAAAAATGTCCTTTTCTCTGTGAGCAGCAGTGTATATTTTGGTAGCTGTTGCCTCAAGCAAGTGAAGTTCCTAAATATTGTTTTCCAATTTGGTAAGCCTTAGGCTAATGATGGTGAAATAATAGCCATCATCTAAGTCTGAAATTTGAGATACTCACTTTGAAAGTCAGTTAAATGTTTTTATGCTTCCAACTATAATGTATATGCCTTTGTTAGCTTAAAATGTTTAAAGAGCATTAGCTTTTTCTAAAGAAGTCATTTTTAAAAGAGAAAAATATTAGCACATCTAAAAACAAAATAAAAAATTATCTTAGAATATCTTTTTATCTCTAAAAAGGTCTCAGTAATAGTAGTAAGTAACTCAGACGTTTTTCCAGAGATGCCAGTAACTTTTCATATATGTTATTATGTAGCTCTTTGATGCACAAAAGTTTGTTATGTTCTTTCTCAAGTGGGAGAAACTAAGGCCCAGAAGGTTAACAGTTGCATCATTTATAATCTTAAGAGCCAACAGTATGTTCTAAGGGATCTTTCTGTATAAGTTTACAAGTTCGGTTTATTTATACATGCTGTATTAAATTGTTATGCATTACTATTTAATACATTATATTGTTTAAATATTTGAGATATGTAAGCCATATTTAAAAAAAAAAATGAAGGAATAAAGGCAGTGTGAATTACTTGAATAGGCCTTCTTGTTAGAATTTCTCTCTCTCTCTCTGTCTTTTTTTTCCTCCCAGCTCTGCTTTTTGGATTGATCAAAAGGAAATAAAGCTTAATCCACCACACCCTTTTTAATATAGTATAGATGTCAATGTGCTGTTAAATCCATAAGGGTGGGAGAGTACAGAAGAAATCAAAAAGTTTTGGAATACCTTAAAAACAATTTCGTGATCCTAATGAATTATTTTGGTACCATTTTTTTAATCCAGAATTTTGTGTGTAATGTCTTATCGCAGCTGCATCTTCATTTTTATACTCCTTGTTTTTTTCTTTTTTTTTGGCAGTGGGTACACCTTATTACATGTCTCCAGAGCGAATACATGAAAATGGATACAACTTCAAATCTGACATATGGTCTCTTGGCTGTCTACTATATGAGGTAGGTACTGTTGATAAATTCCATCTATTGATGTATTTTTACTCACTGCAATATATTTCCAGTATCCTTATAGTATATACTTATTTTTTTCTGGGTGATATTCAAGAATTAGCTTTTTGATTATGAAGAATCAATTCATCGGGTTTTTAAATACTTTTTCTAATGAAATTTTGGTCCCTATACATCCCTACACATTTACTTCCTCTAATATATTTTTAAATTGTATGCTTTTGATGAAAACTTATTTTTAAAATATTAACTTTCATGTTAATGCTTTTCTGCATATCTTTTTATAAAATTTACATTTAGATAGCTATAAAAGCATACTTATCTAGGCATTGCAAGAGAGATTCAGTGAATGGAGTGGAGTTAAAATACAAAAGCACAGTAAATATCAGTATTTTATTTCATTTTTATATAGGTGTAATTCAGCTTTAAAGATAGTATTTAAACAGATGATTCTTTGAGATTATCACTTTATTTAGTTTTTATGAGTAACAATTTATATTGGTAAAGCTCAGTGAAATTCTCTCTCTCCTCTTCTACTGGTGATAGTCTGTCAAAGTAAGATGGACTCACGTAGGTAGATCCTCCAGCAAATATTGCACTAGTTTAGATGAATAGAGGGAAGTATATTACAAACCCATTTTACATCCATGTGATAGGGTCATGTTACCAAAGAGCATCTCAATTTTGTGACTTCTGTAATTTTATTTTTTAATTGAATAGAAGTTTTTCTTGAAATATAACGTTTGAATTAAAGCTGTTAATTACAATTTAGTCTACATCTAAGTATCTCTTTTAGTAATGTAAAATGAAGGAAAATAATACATGGAATCATTTTTATGTTTTAATGTATACAAAGGAACTCTAAAGTGGATAGATGGAAACTGGTGAAATAGTAAAACTATTTTCTTACTCTAAATTTTGAGTTTCTTGTTCTTCTGCCTTAAATGAACTATATGGTGAAGTCATCAATTTTAATTAACCCACTATTATTTGGGAGAGGAGCATCCGAAGTTTTTTTTAGAAGTGTATCGTGATCATTTTTATAATTTTACTGATTGCAGATGAAAATTTCCTTAATTTAAGGAACATGAGAAGATGGTTAGTTTTTTCCTACTGCTAAAAATGATAATTACCTTGTTTACAAAAAAAGGATTTTTAAATGTTCTTAAATAAACTAGGATAATTTTTTCATCATGAAAAATTATGAATTAGTGATGTAGCAAAATATGTCTTTTTATATGCACATGAAATGACAAGAGATTTATGCTCACTCTGTTATATTTTCTTTTATGATTTGGTATAATGTTGAAAAGAACTGATTGGATTATTTTAACCTGTTGTGTTTAATTTAGCCACTTTGTACATTTTAAAATGTTTTATACCTTTTTAGGTAGCCTTAGACTCCTTCAGACCGTAATCTAATATTATAAAAGCAACCTTTTTCTTCCTGTAAACATCTAAATCTAAACAGCAAATTGGTTTTCACTAATGAGATTAAATTTAACAATGAAAACCAAAAAGTCCCATTGAGGTCCTCAGTATTTTGGGGAAGTTTCCATAATTCCTTTCAGGACAGCAGACTCCCACGTCAAAACTGAACTACTTTTTCACATTTTCAATTTGCCTTTGAGGAGCAGTGTCCCATTTTATATCTACTTAAAATAAAGTGATTTCCAAAATAAAAATGGTTTCTTTGTATACTCCTGCATTCTCGTGTATATGTTGTGGGTGGTTTTGCGTTAACATGTATAACTTGTTATCGTTAGTTTTCATCTTGGTGAATTTTCTTGATTTCCTCATGCAAGCCACTGGGAAGAACTAGAATTTTTCTAAAGATTTAACTTACTTTTGTTGTGTATCTCCTTTCAGTTATGTTTTAGTAATGTTAATGGATATCCAGTAATTTTACTTGGAAAAAAAAAACTGTCTATAACACGACTTAGACGTTTTATACTGTATCCCACTAAGAATTTACTGTTAATAATGAAGGCATAGGAAGCCTTTTTTGAAATTGTATTTTAAACTCAGAAAATTAGACTTTCAAATATTCTTGAAACCTCAAAAAAAAAAAAAAAAACCTAGCAGTACAGTTTTAATTGATATGCAACAAAGTAGACTTTACTAATTAAAATCAAGATGCTGTGCTTTTGCTACATGGACCTTTACATGGAAAAGTAGGTTTTACACATTTCCTTTATTGTTCAGTGCAGCAGTTGCATCCTTACAGGGTTGTAGGTTGGTGGCTTACAGTTCAAAAAAAAAAGAGAGCTGCCACCAGCCCCGAAGACAGACAGTGGGCTTTCGTCCCTCCGACACCCCCAGCATACTAATCAGGAAAGTCAGACCCTGGAGGTCAGGGAGCAAGTCAATCATTCTAGCGATCGTCTCAGTGTGGAGGATCAAATTAGCCTGAAAAATTCAGCTGCTGGGAGGAGAGGGCGAGCAGCTGTCAGGGGCAGCATCGAGATGCACTAATGAACCAGATGAATAGTGCAAAAGCTTGAAAATAAAAACAGGACAGTTGACATTTTTCATCTGTCAAAACAGGAGATGCATGAAAATATACTATTCCTGTTTAACTCCTTAGGGGACATTCAGATTTTTTTTTTTTTAACACTCTCCAGTATTGACTCAAAGGTACTGTAAGGAACTCCTAGCATATGATAATGAATATATGTATATTTACATAGGGTTTCTGCAAAAATGGAGAAGCTATAGATTAGATATAGTCTATTTTTTTAAGAAGACATTTTTACTATTCTATTTTGTCAGAAAGTGTGTCTGCATTTTAACCAAGAAACATGATTTCTATCATAGTTGTTCTTTCAGAAATTTCTTTTCAGTTGGAGTGATTTATATGTTTAGGGTTTCAAATTATCTTTTACTTTTTTCTTTTCATGTGAAACAGCTATTTCTCAGGCTGTTTTATATAGGCTTGTGTAGGTTTTCTATAAAACGTAGACTAGGTAACAATTTGTGGCGCTGCTTCCTGGGTTTGATTACCAAACCTATCCCCTCCACGTTAAGGCTGTGAAGGAGTTAAAGCTCTGTCAGGAGCACCAGAAGACAGATGAGAGCCATTTTCAGCTTGTCCTGTCCCCACTGAAGCTCACTGAGTAGCACAGCATGGACTAGCATGTTTCACACACACTCTGCCTGTCTGGGGAATGTACACATTGTCCTTCTAAAATCAAACTTATTAGCACATGTAGAAAAGGGTGACTGACTTTGGGGCAACCTTATATTCCCTGTTGTATTCTTTCTGCTGCGGTTCAAAGATTTAGAAGGTTTTGAACAGGATGTGAACATTTTAAATTGAATTTTTTAGTTTGTAACCCTCTTACCACAGTATTTGCTTGCACTTTAAATGTCAAGTTAGAACATTGTCTTAAAATAAATTTAAATTCAATAATGTCTTTTTTAAAGTGGCTCATTCTTTGAGTCATGTTTCTCTGCGTAAAAAATCTCATTTGGATTCCCTGAAGTAGCAGCTATGACTCGTGATAGAGCTTTTGAACATATTGGTGTTTTTGACACATTGTTAAAAGAAGAGAAGTTCGAATTCATTGTAAACAGTTTTGGGGATCAGTTATCATATTCAAATTGAGAAGACATGTTTTTTTCTCAGAATAAACTTTCCCTACAGAAACTGTTATGGAAAATAAAATGCAATGGATTTATTAAATTATTACTGGTTATAATTCAAGTTTAACTTCAGTTTCATGTTTGCTATGTTTTGATTATTACATGGCTGAGCTATGCCTTGTGACATCTGTTTGTCATGAGATATACTAGTTCTTAAGATATTGTATTTACAAAATAATTTTAAGTTAGTATATGTTCTTTGCCTTAATATTGTAATATATTGCATATGTTTATAAAGAAATAATTATATGCTAACCATTTCTCTATGTTAGGAAAATTTAAATATTGCAAAAAGTAGCCAAAAATGGAAGGAAGATTTTAGGACTTTCTAAATAATTCTCAGAAAGGGATATTCATAAAAATAAAATAGCCCAGATAACTTTATTTAAAGTATTTGTAATTATTTTCTATGCCAGTGTAATAGACTTGATGAAATCACCTTTAAAGTTACCGTGTAACTATATCAGTTTCATTGGGAGCGTTTTACAGATGGCTGCACTGCAGAGTCCTTTCTACGGTGACAAAATGAATTTATACTCACTGTGTAAGAAGATAGAACAGTGTGACTACCCACCTCTCCCTTCAGATCACTATTCAGAGGAAGTAAGTAATTTTTCAGTTCACGTGTTCATCTGTTCATTTTGTGACATATGCATTTTATTAAGAAATTTTACTTTATCTCGAAATACAAACAGGTAATATAGGTGGCGGAAATAACACTTTTCATTCTGTTTTCATTCTCTGGGAGACTGTTTAAAGAGTTGGCTCTGTAGTTCACAATGTGGAGTGGAACATAACACAGCATGTGGTGTGAAATTGGCCACTTCCTGGGTGTGAGAAGAATAGTGGCTGACGTTACAGCATACTGAGCACAGCAAAGGGCAGAATTAATGCTCAGACCCGGGCTCTGGTTAATCAGCATGTCTGGTGGCCCCTCTTATTAGGGTTAACTCCTCATTCTCATGGTCTCAGACCAAGAAACAATTTTAACGTCCTTATTTTTTTGTCAGAACTTCCCTCTGGTCCATGTCTTCCAAAAATCGAAACATACATCTCTTAGCTAAGTTTTTTTTTTTAACCTCTTTCCTTTAGCTTTACTCTCCTGCCCTTGATAATACCTGTCCTAGCACCACCTCACTGTTACAGTCAGATTCCTTTAAGGAAACGTTCTGAGGTTATCATTGTAGACTTGCGAAAATGTATATTGGATGGGATTGAAAATTTTAGAGTTTACCTTATTAAAATCCGCGTCTGAATCCTTGCTTGCTTTGGTAACCCGTTGGAATGAGTTGTTTTGGCTCTGCTGAACATCCAGCTTTTCATTGAATAAAACATCTCCCAATTTCAGCCCTAATACATCATGATTTTTCCAAGATTTAAGGAGGAGATAGGCAAAATAGCAATGCCTCTCAGGTCACTGAAAATGCATTCACATAGCACTTTTTAGAAAACTCATTAGGGATCTACCCAGAGCAAACACTGTGTTGAGTTAGGACATCTCACCTTCTCATGAGCAACAGCTTTTTTTTTTGCCCAAGAAAAATGGCAAGGAGCAAATGAAAAATATAAAACAATTATAATGTTCATTTATTAGGTAATCTTGTCAGTCTTTCTGTTGTGAAACGAGTAGCAATCAAATTTCTGTGAGGAAAATTGAGTCAGTGTAACTTGAATTATAAATGCTTCTAAAGACTTTTTACCATATGTAAAAGCATTTGTGGTCCTAGAATGCAGTAAGTACCTTTTCTTCTAGGTCGTTTTGATACTGATAACCACTGATGCCTGGTTTTTTTGGTTCAATAGCATTTGTAATTAGAATAAACTCTTACAAGGCATTGATGATAATTTAGAAGCATTATCTGTATTTGATGTTAATGCTATTATGTTAGCCATTTTTAATTACTATTTTGGGTCTGGAATATAAATATGGCATTTCACAAAACCAACTTCAGAACCGTAGGCCTGGCAATACAGTAGGGTGTGAACAATAATGCAAAGTGATAGCAAGAATGTCAGGGGCCGTTCTTTGTTGTGTCATTCATGCTGTCTTCTTTTTTCCATGAAGCGCATGAATATTTCACATATCTGCATCCTCATCCCCTATTCTTCTTGACTAATTTTCAGACTGTCTGAATTTGCATTTCACATGGTAGCTGATTAGGAGATGCCGAGTGCAGCAGTGAAGCCTCAGCAGGCGGTTACCATGGTGACCTTCAGCAGGATTTTAATGATGTTACCACTAGTGGTTCGTTGAAGTCGGCCTGCCTGCAGGGCTACTTCACTGCAGCTAAGTGTGAAGTTGGATATGCGGATTCTCAGCCAAGGGGCAAATATCAAAGTCTGGCCCAGATAGAAGGTCTTAGAGTTGGAAAAGGAAAATAGATTCCACTTTTTACTTCACTCTATATAGTTCCCAGTTTCGAAAAGAGATATAAAGCAAAACGTGTTATATTTTGTACTTTCCAAAAAAGACAGTATGATTCTTCATATTGGTAGAACTCTGTTGTTTTGCCCTAATATGACAGGAAGCTATACAATCTAGGTAAACATGGAAAATAATTCTTACTAAAGAAATGAAATATAAAAAATATGCTGACCCTACAATAATGTTACTTTCATCTGTTATGTAGAATAGTTCTCAGAACAAGAGCTTTGAAATGCAGATGTGCTAATAAATATTTTCTTTCCATAAGTAGGAACTCAATTTGTTTGTATAATTAGTATTCAAAATTTATGGTGGCAAAAAAAGAAAAAGATTTGGTACTGCCATACTTTAATATTTAAATATTTCTTTAGATGTTTTAAAAATCCAAGCTGCCATTTAATTCATTAGCATGGCAAGTGATAGGAATCAATAAAAAGTGAAGTACAGATAAAGTTTTTAAACAGTGAACTTACTAAGAGACCAGTTCAAGTGCTGATTTTAAAGCTAAACTTAACAGATGCTGTAGCTGTTGATGAATAAAAATTTTAAGCAAATTAATTTCCTACCAGAAATGTATTTGGGAGCTTACCCAGTTGACTTAGCTACTGCTAAGTCTTTAGGGCTACTGCCCAAAGAGAATTTGAAGGAAACATTTCATGAAAATAATAGCTATGCCTGCCAACCAGCCTCAGTTGATAGGAATCGTAACAAACCCAATAAAATTTATAGCTAGACATAGTTATTCCATCAAGAAAAACTTAGTTTGAGATTTGAGAGGTTTCTTATGTTATGTTCTTAAATACAGATACAGTTAAGCATTAAAAACCAAAAATGAAAAATAGTATTCTTTGGAAAAATAAGCCTGTATGTCACATCTTTCTTTTTGAATTGTGCTATTATTATTGAAATTATTAGGGTTCTAGATAAGTGATTAGCATTCTAGATTGAAATACCTTAGCACACACGGATATTTTAAAAAAAAACAAAAAAAGCAAACTCACTGCCCTCGAGTCGATTCCGACACATAGCAACCCTACAGGACAGAGTAGAACTGCCTCATAGAGTTTCCAAGGAGCAGCTGGTGGATTTGGTTAACCTTTTGGTTAGCAGCCAGGCTCTTAACCACTGCACCACCAGGGCTCCACGGATGATATTAGGAAATGTATGTTTTGTGACTTACTAAAATATTTTTGTGTATGACAGTTTTCTGGGGGATATTCAATGTTCTTTCCTTTTCTAATAATGATCTTGTCCTTGTGTATCAATGGAGAATTACTATACTTAACCACAAAAAACTTGGATTAAAAAGAGACATTTACCCTTAGATATCTCTTAGTGTAAATTACATTTGATATTGTTGGTGACTGTGAAATTTAACACCCAAAGCAAACATTAGTGAACATTTACTAAGTAAAGGAATTACGATTCAAAAGTCACCTGGTAATCTGACCCCGGTTTATCTCTTCAAGACTTACCGATCACGTTCCATTCTCTTCTTCTTTCCTCATCTCTACCAATGCGTGTTCTACGAGAATTTCCCAGAATTTTCATGTCTTTGTAGATGCCATTTCCTCTTCATTCTCTTCCTTTAAAACAGCTTGGACATCATCTCCTGCCTGAAGTTTCCTCTGAATCCCCTTTCTTCTCTCCATATGCCTCTCTCCCTTGGCATTCTTATTGTGTTATAATTACTTCTTTACTCATGTGGCTGCCTCTCCAGACTGTCAAGCTCCTACTCCTAAAGATCAGTAACTCTGCTTTTTACCTGTGTGTCTTCAGGGTCTGGCACATTAAAAAGCATTTGGTAATTGTTTGATTGATGGGTGATTGATTAACTGAGGGGAGTGAGGGAGTGAAGAAAAGAGATTAAAGGAATAAATGAAAAAAAGAACGAGTGAGCCAATAAATGACAATTTAATAAGTATGAGAAACTCTTCCAAAGAACTCAAAAGGGAGAAAATTACTCAAAAAGCAGGACAGAAGATGTGATGGTTTTCTCTTATTGATAGTACCTCTTATATGATTTTTTTTTCCTTCTTACTTTATAAGCCAGCAACTTCATTTCTGAAATGTCTGCAGTAGATTTTTCCCCTCTTGGTTTCAGTATTTAATTTCTTTAGAGATACTTTAGTGATCATCAAAATTATACATTTTCACTATTTTTCATTAAATAGTCTCATGAGACTCTAAGTTAAAAAAAAAAGTGAATAGTTATATTAATAATTCTTTAGAAAATTACAAAATGTGACTCTATACTGAGTTAGTTCTTTTTAACCAATATATTTTATTTTTTATTAAAATCTGAGCGTTAACATCATGCTGAATATAGACTTTATCGCTTTAAATATTTTTTATTCTTAAAAATTCCTAGTTTAAATAGAGAAGACACAAGAAAAGTTGAATAGAATTATGCCTCAGTGGTTGCTTTTAACAAATTTCTTTTAGGTTTGAGCCGATAGGTTTGGGAGAAAGTTCTGAAAAATTGAGTTCGGGGTTTACAGATAAAAGTGAAAGAAATGGAAATGAGCATGGAGAATAAAGATTATCTTGGTTTAAGAAAAGAGAGTAGGGAGAAATTAAATTGAAGACTTAAAAACAGTGCTTTAACACAATAGCAAAAAGATGGAAACAACCTAAGTGCCCATCAGCGGACAAATGGATAAACAAATTGTGGTACATAAATACTCACTAAACGGAATGCTACGCAACAATGAAGAGTGATAGTGAGTCTCATAACATGGATGAATCTGGAGGACATTATGCTGAGTGAAATAAGTCAAACACAAAAGGGCAAACATTGCATGATACCACTTTATAGAAAGTCAAGGATAGGTATACACACAGAAAGCAATGTTCTTTGATGATTACCATGGATGGGAAGGAGCAGGAGGGGAATCACTTACTAGATAGTAGACACGTGTTAATTCTGGTAATGGGAAAGGCAATACACAATATGGAGGAAGTCAGCACAACTTGGCCAAGGTAAATGAAGACACTAAGAGGTACACAAGAATAAAGGACAATTACGGTAAATGCTGTAACATATACAATGTTGCAACAACAGAATAACAAAAAATATGTGAGTGGTTACATAGGTAGATATGTATGCCATATGGGTGTGGGAAGGCATATAGGAGTACATACTTGTGCATATGTGCATTTGTGGACATATGTGTAT